AAATAAATTTGAGTAGGTATTTGGAAATAGAGATTTAAAATGAACAGAAAACTTTAAAATTAGCAAAATAGTTTTATAAACTGTCTAGCTGGTAACAAAAATGGATCCTGTCACTCGGTGTAATTAAGAGGTCGTACTTCTGCATCCAGTTGTGCCTCTTCAATATTTTGTATTAATTCTATTAGGTCAAATTCCTCTATATCGTAAATTTTATAAGAAATTTACACTATAACTAATAGTCCTGGATCCGTAAAAAAGGTCGACCTTCACCCATCTGTTTACCGGATGAAAGTTTCTTTTTATTAAATAAAATATGTTTTTAAATATACCGCAAATGGGTTGCCTAAAAAAATACGGTTCTGGCCATTTTTTGCTTTCCTTTCTGTGTACAGATGAGGAAAGTATAGGAATCATGATAAAAGTTGCTTATGATGTCATTCTCTATTATTTTGTCCCTATACATGATTTCCCTAAAATGGACCTAATTCGGGATATTTAAGAAAAATTGCAAATTTTGAAAACAACTCAAATAAATTCAGATACTTTGTAAGATATAAAATCTGATGTGTCCAACACATGACTTTCCTATCTAGTTATTATAGGCATTTTCCGGTTATTTTGTACAACCTATTGCAGCATCTCTATAAATGTTTAGAGGATAAACTAAATATATACATTTTACACATACATCTACCTCGAAACATTTTTCTATAGATATTTATTGAAAACGAAAATACAGAAAAATTTAAATTTATCACTTTTCCATTACGGTCCATTTTAGAAAAATCATGTATAAACAAAAATTATAGAAATCGATATCGCAAACAACTTTTAGTTCAACAATTTTCATAAAAATCAGAATTTTGCACATTTTGTCAAATTTCTCGAATACGGACCATTTCAGGAAATTTTGACATAAAGCAAAAATTATAGATAATAATATTAGAAGTAACTTTTATTTGAACAATTTTCTTCTCCAAACATAAATAACAGATATATTCCATAAAATATAAAAACGGCCTCTCATAAAGTACCCCCCCAGATGTTCCGACTTTGTCCAAAATCTAATCATTTCACGTCAGGCCGAAATAAACCTTAAGTTTAAAATTTAATGTTTTTTCCTTTATCCGTTTTTGAGTTTTCTTCAAATTTCGAAATTTACACATTTTTTCAATTATCTCGAATACGGTCCATTTTAGAGAAATTATGTATAGGACAAAAATTATAGAAAATTATATTACAAACAACTTTTATTTGAATAATTTTTGTAAAAAATTATGTTTTTACATTTTGTCAAATTTCTCGAATACGGACCATTTTATGAAAATTTTGCATAAAACAAAAATTATAGATAATTATATTAGAAGTAACTTTTATTTGAAGAATTTTCTTCTCCAAACGTAAATAACAGATATATTCCATAAAATATAAAAATGACCACCTATAAAGTACCCCCCCAGATGTTCCGACACTGCCCAAAATCTAATCAGCTCATTGGACGCTGAAACAAAGCTTAAGTTTGAAATTTGGTGTTTTTCCGTGTATCGGTTCATGAGTTATGCGTTATACAGACACACACACACACACACAGACACACACACACACACACACACACACACACACACACACACACACACACACACACACACACACACACACACACAGACATCATCGCGAAAATAGTCAAAACGGATTCAGGGGACCTCAAAACGTAAAAATCCGTCGAAAACTCGAGGTCGAAAAAAATCATGATTCCTATACTTTCCTTATATCTGTATACAGATAGGAAAGTAAAAAGGATAAAGAGAAAAACTCCAAATTTTAAACTAAGGCTTAAATCTATCCTGCGGTGAGCTGATTAAAGTTTGGGCATAATCGAAGCATCTGGGAAATACTTTACAGGGCGTTGTTTTTTTTATTTTTAGAAAATAAATACTCTGGACCGTATTTTCTTAGGCAACCATTTTGCGATATATTTATAAATATATTTTATTTAATAAAAAGATACTTTCATCCGGTAAACAGATGGGTGAAGGTCGACCTTATTTCGGATCTTAGACTATAAGTAATGTTAATGACAATGTAGGTTTACTTGACAGATTTAAAAACAATAGCCCTATAGTTTAATCAGGAAGTAGTTACTTTCAAAGGTGCAAAGATCGCACCTAAAAAAATAAACTAGGAAGAATAATAATAATTATTATATTAAATCTATGTGACAATAAGTAACATGCTTGGATTCCCATAGTTACCGCATGCGAGATAAGGTTGTCGAATGGTCAGGGCCATTCGTTGCAAATCATTCGACAAGCGACGCATGCGGGATCACTCGCATACGGCAAAAGTTTTCAAGAATACCATTTTTCTACTCGCATACGTCACCGCATGCGAGACGATGACGAGCGCCGTCAGGAATTAGGCCCTAGGTAAAATGTTACTCGTTTTCGAAATACAGGGGGTTAAAAATAAAAATACGCAAAAAAATTTAATGACCATATTTTTTTTATTACTTAGTATAATTATACTAAATTCGGTAAACGTTTTTGATGTTGTAAGACAAACCTTTCAGCAAAAAAATAAATTAAATAAACTTAGTGGCGTACCGCATGCATAAGTAACACCTCTGTAAATTTAATACTAATGTCCTTATAAACTTATTTGAATCATAATTTAAAATTTTTTCTTAAATAAATCAAGTACTCTTGTTTCAAAATTTCAGAAATTAAAATAAAGAACAGCCGCCTTTGTGCGACTATTTCGAAAACTTTATAAGCTTATAAGAGTACATAATTTAAGTGAAAAATATAAAAAAAAAATAAAATTATAGTCCAAATAAGTTATTGGGCAGTGGCGAAAAATTTAGAAGGAATAAGGGTGTACTTATCCATGCTATACGCAACTGACAAAGTTTAGTTAACTGATTTTTTGCTGATAAATGTATCTAATGACACTAAAAACGTTTGCTAAATTTAGTAAAATTATACTGTGTAATCAAAAAAATATTACCATTAAGTTTTGAATTTTCAACTTTTACACCCTGTATTTCGGATTCGAGTAACATTTTACCTAAACATGTTTCGTCTTATTTTTAGTTAAACAATCTTCAGTTGTTCTTTGTCTCACTCTTAATTGATATATCTATATCTATTTTGATATTTAACCTAAACGTATTTTGTACGATACCGTTTAATTTTTCCAATTTTTTTGTCAGCTCCAGTCAAGACTACTAAATGACTAAATATTTTACTCTGTTAATTTGCCATGTAGTTTAAAAACAAACTAATAAAAGTTTAAATAGAAATAAGTATTACGATTTAGTGCCAACGCACGTCCAAAATGGGACTGAATGCATGAAAGATAATTCCTTATATTATGAACTAGCTGACCCGATCCCTCTTCGTTAAAATTTCTCAAACCACAATAAGTTCCTATCCATATACAAACTGTCCAGTGGCATGAGTATTTAAATTAAAAAGCCAGCACGTGGATAAGGAAGTGTCTATGAGGCCTCCGATAACGTGGCAACACTGTCGGAGGCAACAACAACAACTAGATGTACCAACTTATACAGTTTTCGGAGGTCACATCGTACCGTATATGCCTCCCTTATATACCATATTAAATATATAAAAATCTTTTCCCCTCTCAAGGAATTCGGATTGGTATTCATTACGATACCCCATATATAAATTTTTTTTCGATGTACCTCAACGGAAAGACCCGGAGGCCAGGTCGCCTTTTCAATATACCGGAGGTGACAACTTCTCGTGCATCAATATATATATATATATATATATATATATATATATATATATATATATATGGTGAATCTTTAGTAGAGTTTTTTAACTGTGTATAGAAGTCTTTAAAAAAAATCTTTTTCAAATAACTCTTTTTAAAAAACTTATAAATAAATACTAAAGAATTAAAAAATCTAAATCTAGGAATGGACTTGTGTATGAAAAGTTAAGTTAAATAACATTTTTATCTCTTCTCTGTTTAATCATGCCACATTATGTACTGGTCGTTATAATTCAGTCGCGTGTGATTTCATTATCGTGTTTATCTGAAGTAGCGAATTTAAATTGTTCATTATATTGAATTATGACAACAATGTACTTGTGGATACATTGCTTATTTATGGCGAGTGTCTTCACAGTGCACAGTGAATGCTTTACCTTGCGAACCCATCCTTGCCCTAGAACTTTCATTAATCTGGTTCAACAGTGTAGGGATATGAGTGAATTGCGGGAACTCGTTGAGGACGTGTAGGAAGACCAAGAAAACATGAAGTGTGAAAGTTATATTGAAGTGAATGATGACAACTTGGAATACATTATTTAAGTTAAACAGGACCGTATTGACTATATTTTGAAATAGATTAAAGTAAGTTTCTCATTTTTGAGTTTTTTGGAAAAAAATATTTGAAAAAGTTGTTTATTTTAATGACTTAAAAAAGTACAAACTTCGGATTATTGTGCCCCCAAAAGACGCTCTTTTCTCTTTCTAGTTTTAGTAGATAGAATTAAACAAAAATCCCATATAAAGGTATGCGGCCCACTGTCGATATTTATGCGTCAGGCCAACAAATTTTAAAAATTGTTTGAAAAACTACAAAAGTATCTTTAAGTACCTACCACTTTCTTGTTTAGGTTTACTACGTAGGACAGGTATTATACTCGCCGGTCCAAGCATATTGTTATAAGTCTGTGTATCCCTGTTTTAAAGTGTATGCAATTTTTAATGTAGTAGCATATTTTAAAAAACACAAAGAACTTTTTTGGGAAAATCTGAACGGGCTGAACTTTTGTATTTTTTATATCTCTCTTTTTCTAATATTCTTTGTCAACTTTGGCATTTGTTTTGGGCAATTTGTGATTTAAATTTAACCTTATAAAATTGTTAAAATATATGATAATCGAAGTAATTTTAACTTTTTATCATTTGAGTCCAATGCCACGTTACGTGAACTATACTATAAGTGTTCTCATAAAAATTACCTTCTAATACATAGGCCAACCTTGTATGCGATGTGAAGGTGTTGATCACATCAAGGGGTGCCGAGCTGTCAATCCTCTCTACTCCTCTCCAGCTCTTGTTGTATTCACCCAGGGCAACCAGCAGGTCTATGGATTGGTTAGGAATGTAAAACGGTTTCGTAGGGTCAAATCCAGTTGCTGAAACAAAAAAGATTAGGTGAATTAGAAAAGTTTCCAACATAAAAAGCATGGTTAGTTGTTAATACAAAAATATGACCTGTAAACATCTCTGTTTCTAAGGTAAGGCCATGTTGGTCTATACATATTCTAACCGAGGGTAAAGGTAAGAGTTTTCATCAGATAGATTTTATAAAACATTTTTGTCTAATAAAGCCCTTGCCTTGGTGTAAAAAGGATGCAAGCTACAATTTGTCGTGAAGTGACTGTTTTAGCTCAAAATATACTATACTAGTCACATACAAATTATTTTACCTCTAATTCGAAAGATAGCGCTATTTTTCATACTATTTATATTTAAGTAATCTTTTTATTTGTACCTATTTGACAAATTTAAAACCTTATTACGCCAAGGTCTTTAAATAATGTTTATAGTTTTATGCCAACCGGCCTTAGCCATATTTTTGTAAAAGATAAAGAACTTATTTTTTTAAACGTACACTTTTTAAGACAACACTAAATCGGATAAAACGATTAACTTCAACTTTGTTGCCCGAATCAGTAAATCTTTCCAGATATTGTCACACAGTTCTTAAGATAAATAAATTATATTTGATTCGAAAGGTGCCACTTGACAGGGCTTATCGAACTCTTCGGTAAATACTTCTAGAATGTTTTTTAAGTATGTAGAATTAGGGGGTGGGTGGCTCAGTGGTAGAGTCTCTGCCTGTGGATCCAAGGGTTTCAGGTTTGGATCCCACCATTGGCCGGGATTTTCTTATTTAATTAAATTATTTAAAATTATTTCTGATGCCTTCGTGGGATTCCCCACTCAACCATTCACTGTTGAGTTTTTAATTAACAGTGCTGTTCCTAAAGTGGCGCTAGGAAATAGTAACAAAGCCTACACAGAACACGAGGCGAGATAACCTTAGCAGTTAAAGCAGATGACACGCAAAAAAAGTGTGTACAATGTATACCTATGTACCATCGAAACGTATATTTTAGTTTAATTATTGAATCTAGAATATCATACGCGTATGAATACTTTCCACCCGTGTGCGAATATGCTACTTTCCGCATCAGCTGTCACAAAATGTCAAACGCATCATTTCTATTTTGATCTATGTAATGTCCATATTAATACTAAAATCGATATGATTGTTAAATTATTGAAATTGTTGTAAATTATATCCTAGATATTTATCTTCAACAATTATTATTAAAATAATTTTAAAATAACTTAGCAATGTTTGCTTTTTATTCTGGTTAAACACATACCCGATTAGATCATCCAATTGACGCAAGGCCTATTAGCTCAGGTGGTAGAATATCAAACCTTATCAACTTTGCCATTTGAGACCTGGCGAGCGACCGCGTTCAAATCCTTGTGGGGGCAGAATTTTTTTTTTATTTTTTTAATTTTTTTTTTGTTTTTTAGTTTTCTTCTATTTAGAAAATATGAAAATTAAATAAATGCGATTATTGTTGATTATTTTTTTAAATACATTTTAATTATTATAATAATAACCTGGGTTTACATTTTTTGATGAAATTATTTTGTGGTCGTAAGAAAAATATTGTACATCACTTGTGTGAAAAGTGATTTTCCACACTCATGTGATAGTCGCACTCGGCTTGTGCCTCGTGCGACAATATTTCCCACTCGTGTAGATAGTGTCACTTTCCACACTCGTAATGTAATATACTATTCCACCACATCTTCATTTAATAGATAGATTATAATGTAATGAGGGTTAATAAGTTAAGTTTTGTTGAAACGTGAGGTCGGTACTTACAGAAAATATTAACTAAAATAGCATGTATTTAATTAATAAAAAGGGATCAATGATAATAAATAAATTTAAAAAATGTTGCTAATGTTACTGTAAGTTATTATTTGGCAATATTTCAAATATATTCCGTTTTTTATTTGAACTCGGAATTGCTGTGAAAGTTAAATATCGATCACTATGTATAAGAAGACTGACACTGTTATAGTTATTTTAAAATTTAACGTTGTCACATGGCTTTGCGAAATTCTTTAAATATTTTCAATCGTTTCATAATACGATTTCTCGATTCTTCCGCATTCACTAAAGATTTAGGTATACAGGAATTATGGCGCAACTTGAAACGGAATCCCACTACAGAAATTAAGCCCCGAAGAACATGAGCAAAAGCCAAAAGCCCAGACACGTCGTAAAGTGCACTTTAAGAAAAGAAACCCCACTACAACTGGCCGTTTTCCTAATCCTGACAAGAGGCCGTGGAAAATACAGAAAAAGAATTATCATAAAGTATTACCCGCAAAGCATTCAATAAATATTTGCCTGTGTGTAACTTTACTTAAAGCTAAAAAGATCGGATTGGAAGATTTAATGTTGAAAATTCACTTTTCCCTTGATTTAATGAAATACACATAAATATATATGAGCGTAAGGTACGATTGAATCGAATTATGTCGAAATATTTTGAAGTATCTGCATGCATGTAATTTAAAAAATAAATTAATTACCATGGTAACAACGTATCAATGATTTATGCGAAACGTCAATGTGAAGTTTTCCAGAGAAAGTCGAAAACTAATACAGAAGAGAGAATATTTTTATTTTATTTTTATAATATATTGGTTTTGTTAACTTAGAAACACAGCTTATCTATTGTTATTTACAAATAACGTATGTATAACATGTATACAATCTTCTTTTATTAGACTTGAATACTAAGGGAGTACAGTTTCTTTTTATCTTAAAGGTGTGAATCGAGGACATGTCAAAGAAAGAGAATACTTTCAAAGAAACTTATTCTTATCATAAGAAAAGAGTCCCAATAAAGACATTTTATTGAAAAATATGCAGTTCCACTAATTGGGACCAATGACAATAATTGATGAAATATGCTAAATTGTCGCTATTTTTGACCCATCCTGTATAATAGGCGGCTACTTTTATCTTAACGATTGACGGACTGACAAGTCATCTGACTTTCTTTAAACCAGTAATGCCATTATTTTTTAATTAATTATCTAAACAGTAATATTTTTGATAAGTGAACCTTACCATGTTTTAGAAAAACAGCCATTTTTGACTTTCAAAAATTTGTATCTTCGAAACTAGACGTCTTTCATTAAAAAAAGTACTAAAGTGCTAAACTTACGTGAATCACCCTGTATATTTATATTTTTGTTTGTTTGTCAGGCAACAAAATGTCACTTTTTTCTCCGGGAAAAAGTGAGTACTTTTTTCCTGGATGTATATACACATAAGTAAAGGCATATAATTTAGAATATTTTTTTCAATATCAAATCGACGTTTTTCCAGTCATAGAAAAAAATAGTATATTATACACGGGAAAAATGTTAGATTTTATCTCTCGGTTTTTGTCTCCCTCAGCTTCGTGTCGGGAGACAATACGACCTCGAGCTAAAATCTAATACTTTTTTCCCTTGTATAATAAATAACTGGTTTTTTTATTGTATTATATTTGAATAGATGAAGTTTCATTACGTTAAATATCTGGTAATATCGCTTGATAAACTACTTTTTTGTTGGTTTGACCTCATCGACCACATCTACCATATATTTTAAAGTTAAACAATTATTTTTTACCAATGATATTTAAAAGGCGAAATACATGGGCGTCGTTACACAATTCTATAGGGAGGGGCAAAATTTTGAAAAAACTTTGAAAGTTTATTTGTTGAAAAACAAAGAAAATATAAGAGCAATACAAATTAACAAACGTTTCTAATAAAGAAAATAACCCAACAAAAAAGACAAAAACTAAAATAAAAAAACAAGAACTTAAAACATATATTTTTAAAAAACAAACAGAAGGTGTGAAATAAAAGAAAAATATAAACAAGAAGAAAGAGCCATACATAATATTAAAAATAAATAAAATATTTATAGAAACTCACTCAAACACGTCGACGAACTTTTTATTTTTTTTTCTTCTTCTACCTAAAATAATCGATAACAGAAATTATTATTTTTTGCGATTATTTTTCGATGAACGCTCATCATGCAAAGCGCAGTGAGCCTATTTTCATTCATTATTGGATCTGTGCGTGACAGCAGCACCAACTAATTCATGAACTAACGGACGATATTTGCGTATACTGACAATACAATTTTTAATGGAATTCCTAATTAAAAAATATAATGTTGATTTTAATAAAAGTATATGGATTTGTAAAAAAACTGAAAAAATTAATTATTATTATATATTTTTATTACTTAAGCTAAAAAAAATGTATGATATGTTGCCTAAGCCTAATAAGTTGCCATTGAAGAATAGGTTAAATAATGTGAAAATAAAAACATTACCATTATATAATAACGTAGTATCAAAACCTATTAACAAAACTAATTGGTAAATTTGCGATTGTAATTTATATTTTCTTCATTTTTAGTTCGAAAGAATCCATAGAAATTAATGATTAAAATTGGTTTCCTACCAATAAGTCACAAGATTGCATTTCAGCCACAAACAATAATCAAAGGCAGAAATCTAATCCTTGTTAAACATTTAAGAGTTAAGGGATATTGAACAACATTGTACAATAATAATTTGTTTATTTAAAATCTTTCAATTTTATGATGTCTACTATTTCCAGTATTATCTACTGTTATTACAAAAATAAAGGTTTTTTCTTCTTATTGTACAGCTATCCATTTATTTCTTTGATTTAATTTCCCTTTTGGTACTGAAAATGTATATAATTTACACTGTTTTTTCTGCTAGTATTTTTACAATTTACAACACAGCAACTGCTATTGCTTTTTGTTTTGTTTTTATCTGTTAGAAAAAATAATGAGGAAATAGTTTGGTGAAAGGTTTTTATTAACGAATAACTATTTGAACAAACAATATTAAAATTAAAATAGCAACTTAGGTTAGGTGCGCACATTCGTTGGTTAATTTATCGGAAGTCTTATATTGACATTGTCATTGACAGACGACAATACAGGTAGTCATCTATATAAAAGAAAAGTAACTTATTCAGACAGGTTTGT